CCCGAGACTCCTGTGTTCACCACATGTCTCTCACTTTCTAGTTCTTATTTTATTTATTTGAGTAAGTGAATTTCCTAATATCGGGAAAGGAAGTTGAGATGCGTTGTAACATGGTTTGCTTGGACCGTTTATCGGTTACTTGGACGATTATAGCTTGTTCCTTCTTTGGCTAGTGATGTTCATGCGTGACAATCATGTTTGATGTTGTTTCGTAGCGTGAACTTTGTTATTGATTTGCCATCGGTGCAGGTACGGTAAGAGCCAACTTATGCTAACGGCGATTGATTCATCATAACTTGATATTAGTGTTTTCATTTATTAAGTCTCCCCGACTCATTCCCCGTTGTTTTCCTTCTTTTTAGGTCCGTAGGATGGCGTCTCCCCCTACCCGGTTTGGTAATCCCGTGGAGATGAGAGCCGAGTTGCTCACGGTGATAGATGCCCGAGAAGGTCGTGCCTATCGTTGGATTACGACGTATATTATGGTAGATGAAAGCCATGAGAACTTGGTTCCTCACCCGTACGTGGCGTGGTATCGCCTCGCGAACGGAGATTGGGTTGGACCCCTACATGGGTTCAACGGGCCGTTTGGCGGCACAGGCGGACCGGCTCTAGGGCAGGCCACAGGCGGGGTGTAAGACGGCCAGACGGACGGGATGTGGGGAGGAGACGAGCGTGGACTGAGGAGCGAGTAGCCGTAAGAAGTAGTGGAAGTAGGATGACCAAGCAAAAGTTTTGTTTGTTCATAGTTGTCTCGTATGCGGAACCACTTTGACGATGGTATGTAAAATATAAGCAAGGACCGAAAAAGGGGCTTGTCAAAATAAGTACGGATCATGTAAATACAACGTACGATGTTTGCTTATATTACTCATGTTATCTTGTTTATTTTTATTTGCTTCCACTTGCGCATTGTTAAAAATAAATGGGTCGCTCTAACGTATTTTCGCAAGTCACGGTTCCGCTCGGATCATGTTCGGTCATCAAGCATCGATCTTGATTTCGGATCGAGACGTGACAAACATAGCAAGAGCAATATGTAAGTGTAAAAAGAGATTTATGGACAAGCAGCAAATCATGTAGGGCTGAGACATAGAAACATAAGACCAAGTTTGACACAAACCGACAATGAGCGAAGCAACTATATATGCAATTAGAAGGTTATGGCTAAGGGATACGACAAAAATGAAAGAGAGGGAGGTCCTTGGAAACATAGAGCCTCAAACGCGACCGGTATAAATCAGTGGAATGGAGGACTCTCGTTTTCCTAAAGAGTTCTTGCTAAATGCCATTCGCAATTTCCATGACCTTAGACAAAGATGATGATGAAGGACTTGATGAAGAGGAAGACGATCTAGAGTTCTCGCTAAATTTAACAAAAATTTGAAGGAAGTTAACGTAGGGTAAATGTGTCACGTATGTACCGGTTTGCGGCAAAATTTATCACATGTGTATTAGTTTAGAGTTTTTCGTAATATTAACCCATAGTTTCAACATGAACTTGCCACGTCAACTGCCACATATCATCAAACTTATTAAATTAACAACAAAATCTGACGAAAGCTAACCAAAAGTCAATACGTGTGTATCAATTTTTGGTTTTAGGTGATCCAAAAATTAGTTTGGGATAAATTTATTACTGGTGTACGAATTTGCGATTTTTCATTGTATAACCTTAAAATAATTGAGAATGAAACATTTAATCATGATATGCATGGTTTTGGGCCAAACCGAAGTTAAGTGAAAACTATCTTGGACATCTTCAGATTGCAACACCCAAAAAGGTACTATTTCAATTATATATACACTGGTTTTTGAGCTCACGCAAGTTGACTGGTCTTGCATAAGAAAGCTATGGCGAACGGCAATAAGGTAATAGTTCCATTCTTGAGCCCAACTATGAAGTGATAAAAGCGGCGACTAGTTGCAGAAGAAGTGGATAGTTACTCATTGGAATGGACTCTGGTAGTGGATCGTTACTCAATGGAATGGATGATAGTAAACATATTGTTGCGACCTCCCCGTGGGGTAATGAAAATTTAGGTGTCAACACATGTCAATTACATTTCAACCTCGTCATCTGTCAATCATCAGAAAGTCCTAAAGAGTAAAATCAAACCATAATGAAATTTTCAGTTATATATTCGATTGGATGGATACACATATTTATACACTTTTACCAGTTTTGCAGTAAAAAAAAAAAAGTCTTCCAGCATGCAAAAGGGCTTTCTAGGGATAGCATGTTTCATGGTCAATAGGGGATATTATTTCACCAGTAAAACATGTTTCCCTAAATATATCATGTTTGAGCAACATAGATATATAGATGTGATACTTGGGGTGCGTTTGGTTGGGCATTTTGAAAGCCCCTTGAGGCCTGAAAGCCCTTTGGAGAAAATGTGGGGTGTTTGGTAATCATTTCCCAAGGAGCTTTGGGGTGAAAGTTGGCCTTGGAAATGCTGAAAGCTCAATGCTAGTACCTACTAGCATTGAGCTTTCAGCATTTTCGGAATGCTGAAACCTTTGTTTAATGAAGTTTTGCTGAGTTCCTTTTTTGTCCTCAAAAATTTACTAAAAATCCAAGTTTACCCTTTTTTAAAAACAAAACCCTAGATCTGCAACCCCGTCTCTTCCCTTTGTTGCTCTAGACCCAACGCTTTCTCACATCTCTGCTCCCTCTCCTTTTGCGTTTTCTCTTTCGCTCGACGGCGCTCAATCGGTGCTTGATCGACCGCGCTCGCTCGACAGCGCCCTTCCTGCTCCCACGCGTTATCTTATAGGCTTGCGCTCGCTCGGCGCTTGTCGCTCCTCCTGCTTCCACGCTTGATCGACCGCGCTCCCTCTCCTTTGCGTTTTCTCTCTCGCTCGACAGCACGCCTGCTCGACGGCACTCCCTCGCTCGACCACGCTCCCCTGCAGGTTCAATCTCTCATTCATCTTGTTTTTGTGTTATTTTTCGCCTTGTTTTTTATTAGGGCTGTGAAGGCACAAAAAGAGAGGTTTTCGAGTGATTATTTGTGAAACCTGTTTTTATTGCCTTTGTTTGTTTCTTCTTTCTTGGTAAATGGAAAGTGATCGGAGGAATGATATTTGTTGCACAAGAAAGGAACTTCAGTTCTGCACCACTCATTAAGTCTAAAATTGGGGGCAGAGCAAAAGTACTCTCAGTGAGTTGTTTCATGGGAAGATTAGTGAAAATTGGTTGAGCCAAACGTAAATTCTAAGCTTGATTAGCTGCTCTTAATCTACACTACTAATCAAAGTAGAAAGATGATAGAAAGATAAAAGATGTCGCAATCCTTGTCTTGGACTCCTTTGGAAAGGCTAATGAGTGTGCTAGTGAGATTATTGATTCGAAGGTTAACACTTCTTCAAAAGTGCCTATTCCAAAACCATAAAGATTGCCAAAGCTGATGGTAAAGAAAGCAGGAATGTCCTGAGGTGAACTTTGTGGCTACCTTGTTATCAAGTTCTTTGAATCTTTTGGATGGTTTAGTTAACACTCAAGCGAGTTTATTGAATTGCAGACCCGTCTCTCTGTTCTTTAGCCTCTTTTGCTGTCTCTATTTGGTCAATATTTTATTGAATTGCAGAACTAACACTGAAGCGAGTTTGTATAAATTGAGAAGGAGATATTCTGGTTTGTTTGGCCAAGAGATTGTAGAACCGTCGTTATAGTACCAAGGAGCTGGTATTGCTTGATGGGTTGTTTTAAGTGCATGTGGTTTCTGATAATGGCTATTGCTTGATGGGTTGTTTTAAGGAGCTAGTATTGCTTGATGGGTTGTTTTAAGTCCTTGAATTGGATGATATGTTTACTCATATTGAATTAGTGGTTTTTATACTTTAATATATGCATGTGGTATATGTTGATTAAATTTACAATTTTTTTGTGTAGGTAAATATTATTTAGTAGATTCTGGATATCCAAATCACACGGGTTACTTGGGTCCATACAAAGAAGTTAGGTATCATTTGCCGGAGTTTCAACGAGGTCCAGCACCTACTGGCTATAAAGAAGTGTTCAACCGTGCCCACTCCTCACTGCGATCAGAGATTGAGCGTGCCTTTGGCGTATTGAAGAAGAAGTGGAAGATTCTAAAGAGCATGCCAAGTTATCCATACAAAAAGCAAGTGAAAATTGTGATAGCAGCAATGACTTTGCATAATTATATACGAAGAAATGCCGTGAATGATGCACATTTTGCAGAAGTGGATTTGGATCCCAATTTATATACCGATGATGTAAATGAGGAGAGTAGTGCCTCAAATGATGACTTAGCTTCTGACATGGCACGTTTACGTGATCAAATAGCTATAAGTTTAGGAAATATTTAACAATGTTTGTAATTTTTAAGGATAATGAATTTCTTTCGTCGGGGCATATGTTATCATGATTATTGTAATGCTTTTTAAATTAAGAAAGAGACCACTTTGATGTGAATTTTCCATTTGAATTTTTTAGCAAAAAGAATAAATTTTATTTTTTAAATAAAATTATTTACACGATATCTTTTAACATTATTGTCGATATTTGAATTAAAAAAGTTGCAGACCTTTTTTTTTCAATTTTAACCCAATTAAAAATTAAAACTTTAAATTAATCACCCAAATGGACTTTCCAAATGTGTTTTCACCAAACAGCTTTTCTCTTAAAGTTGCTTTTCAAAGCAAAGTTTACCAAACGGTCTTTGCATTTCCCCAAAGCCCTTTAGGCTAAACTGCTTTGCATTTTCCTAAAAGCTCCTTCAAAATGCTGAACCAAACGCAGCCTTGACCTATTTCAACGTTGGCTCTCTCGGATCAAGCTTGGATCCGACAAGCCCGAACCCGACAAAATGGGGCATAAAACCTCCATAAATAAGTGGGCCTTCCAATAACGCTTAAGCCCAAGCCCAAGCCCAAGCCCAACAATGAGATTCCTTTCGGTTCTTCATGTTCTTGTTTTTTTCCCATCAGTTTTCCCCAATTTTCCCGGGAAAATCCCCCCCCCCCCCCCCCCCCCGAACCCTAACTTCCCCCTTCCGATTCTCCTCCTCCGCCATCGATTGCTTCCTCCTCGATCTCTCCCCGCCATGGACGTCGCTCTGTCGATCGACACGCTCGTTTCAGGCCTAGGGCTCGCGAAGAAGCTCTCGCTCGCTCGGTCCCATCACCACATCGCTCTCTCCGATTCGGCCGGCGACCCGTCGGCGCCTTCCGCCGCGGTCCTCCAAATCTCCGCTGCCGCCGCCGCCGTGAAATCCCAGGCCTGCAGGACCCTGCCTCGCCGCCTCGTCCGGAGAAGGCGGCGATCGAAGCGGCGATCGTTGTCCGGAGATTGCCCCGACGAAGGGGACGACGTCGGAGACTGCGGATTCTACGGCAGCGACCCGTTCGGTGGGGGTTTCGGTCCCGGCGGCGGCGGCGGAGACGGCGGCGGATGGAATTTCGGGGGACCGAATTGGGAGGATGATTCGTCGTCGCGGTTCGGCTCCGGTTCGGGTTTCGCGCTCGACTTTGTGTATGAGGTCATATGTTGGATTGCGCTGTCGAATTGTGTGCATTTCGCATTCAAGAAAATGTTGAGGAGTTTGGCAGTGGATGGAATCGGCGATGCCGCGAGGGAGAAGGTTCCCATTAGATTGACATGACGTCAATGTGTTAACTTGGTAATGCTATATTCGATTAAGATTCAACCGGTGGATGATATTGGGCTGTCTGTGCCGTCGGGGCAATGTGAATATTAGATTTCATGATTCAGTGTACATAACGTATTTATGGCAATAAGCTTATATACCATGAACTGGTCAGAAAGATTGTAAATGTTTCGGTGAAGTGTTCTTTGTTGGTGAATTGACTGATCAAGGGTGTCATGTGTTCCTTTCAAGAAATTGCTTGATGCAATTGGGAACTTTTTTTTTTATCTAGTCTCTTCATATTTCAATCTGGTCCTTTAAACCTGTGCACTCTGTGAGAATGGTATTTCATATGGTGTCTCAAAGGCGATGTCTTTTTTAATGCTTTGGACCTTGAGGGACTGTTGCGGTCAGCTGTCGATCCCTCCGTAGTCTATAGCATTGTTGTTTTCATAGACTCCCTGACCACTGTCAACCAGACCGATCTTCCTTTCAGGGTCTACTTATGTGTCTCATTATTTGCTTGCTCTTTTAAATAGAAGGTAAAGTGCACAGGGGAGAACGGATCCCTCCCGCAAAAAATGACAAGAGCGTTGAATCTCCTAGCTGTTGGTTAAGTCTGAAGTTGTTGAGATTAATGTGGAGAGGATTGAGGATAAAGTGGATGAGGCTGTATTAAGCCTTGTTAAAAGTGTCCGTGTCAAAGCTGATGGTTTTGTTTAAGAAAAGCTGTGGGGATCTGAATACTGCAATTGGAAAGTTATTTGTTGTCAACCGTGAATGAAATGACCTTCCTCGTTATTTTCCATAAGATAGCTAACTTTTTGGAGACGGAGGTGCCCTAACTTGAAGCAAGATTAGTCTTCATCCCTGAACATGAGATTTGTTCACAATTCATTTGAGTCTTTGTATGTTAGTACTCTTCAATCACGGGTTGGCTTGGCCCACAGAGCAGTAGGGTTCCTTGTTTCCCACCTGTTTCCGTTGGGGAAGTATTACAAGTGGGGTATATTATACTTCTTTATATATATGACGGTGCTTTAATTTGTTACTAGTTATAAGTGATATCAGGATTGTGCCTTCATACTTCATTGGCAAATCTGACTTTTATACTTGCATCAGAGCCACCTTGTAAAGAGGGAGGAAGGATGAGTATACGACAAGAATAGGATGCTAGGATCTGAACATTTTCACAATAAATTCAATAAAGGGAATGATTGTCAAGCTTCTGGTCATGCCTTTTTTTGTTGAATGTGCAGTGTGATTCTCTTTATGTCTCCATTATGAAGAGTGGGTCTGTGTTCTTTGTATCTCTCTCTCTCTTTCTATGTTTTGAGTGCTTCTATAAAGCAAACAAAAGTAATTCCTTCGATGTCTCTGAATGCCAAGTCAATTTGCCCTTTTGGTCATTTAGCTTGGAGAGGATTGATAGCGAATGTTATGGGCTTCTTCTTTTCAACCAGTTTCCCTGTATTATTGTTGGATCATGATCTACATCCCATTTGATATTGTGACTTTTGACGGCATTTCTTTAGTAACAGAGATATATTCCGTTGCTTAAACAATAGAAAATTTACGGAGAGGGAACTTATTCTTCTGCAGCTCCGCTGCCAATAGCGTGTTGTCCTGAAAAATCCCATGGCTTGTAATTGCAAAGGAAGTGAGCTTAAGTCTCAAAGGCTTTCTTTGTCTTGGTCACAGGATAGAGTGCAAGTCTAATCATTGTTGCCGAAGCATAAAAAATTAGCACTGGCTTTGGCATTGATTGTTAGTTTTTTTTATTTGCCTCTGTTGAACCCATCACAGATTACAAGAGAAAGTTATCTTGAAAAGACTGTTTGACCACCCTATTGTGAGAGTGGTCGCTTTTAATTTTTAGCATGGATTGTTAGTTTTCGGATTTACCTTTGTTGGCATCGTCTCTTTGTCTTTGCCAGTCATTTTTTTTGGGATTTACATAGTCGATATGTTTTTTTTTTTTTTCAATGCCAATTACTTCATAAACTTTCAGACAGGGATCTATGTACAGCCAGTGGAATTATGTTATTTATCTGAGGTGGTCTTTGGGTACTCTGCTCTGCTAAGAGCTGCAGGAAAGGCCTTGTTCAAGTGGGAGGGAAGGTAAAGGATGTAATAAGCACTTGGCTTTTCTTAAAGGCTGCACCATCATTTTAAAAACCCACATGTTGGTCATATATTACGAAAAGAAACTGGGTGTTGCTCACAAAAGGGGGAAACTCTGCGAGAGGTATGGTCCCTATGGATGCACCTAATTTCTGAGCAAAGTTTTAATTTCCAAGTTGAAAGAATGGTGATGCTGTCTCCAAGAGAATGAGCTGACTCGGCTGACATGAACCCCATATTTTTTGTCTTTCCGGCCTTTTAATATTCCCCAGTTCTACAGCATTTGCACTGCAGCAACATGGAGATGAATGATGATTGCATCAGGACAGCGACCCAGAGAATTTGGAAGAGAGACGAAAGCTCTGCACCAGCTGCAATGCTGCAGTATGAAAACTCAAGACTTTGTTCCTTTGATTGATGATGTCCTCAATCAAAGACCCCACTTGGATTTTTGAGTTACGCCACCTTTGGTTCGGTTCATGCATCTTCCTTGATGGGCAGCAAGCACTTCCGTTCAATCAAAGTCATATTATTTGCTTCACCAACCGTGTTGTGCCCATTTGACTCTTGCGCCCCTGCTTTTGAATCCTTTGGGTTACTTGCCGTGGTGATTGGTGGTATCACGAAGTATTTGTTGGGTTAATTGTCTGAGTTTTGGATATTCTCTCAAAGTGAAGCGTGTGCACGACGCGTGTCGCCGTCTCTCTTGCTTTTTTCTCTAGGGAGAAGCAAACACGAATAGGGATTGCTCGATCCAAAATCGAGTTTTTAGTCAAGCCATGATCAACCAAAATCTACGGAAAATATAGGAAAACGATCTGAATTTTGGACATTGGTTGAAATTACCCGTTGACACGCCATGATAAGAATTTTGAATAAATGGAGAAAGGAACATGAGGCAAGAGCCTAGATCATCCCGTGTCCAAATACACTGAAGAGCTGTAGCAGATGACAGTGACTCCACGGGAGAATTATTAGCCGCTCTGAGGTGCACGCGGGACCGGTTGATCCGAGCCGGCTCCCCACCCGGAATCCACGAGATCTAATGGCTTGGATCAACTGGGCTCATATGAACCGAGATCATTCGAAGTATTGCTCGACCTATGTGGGTTCCAAATTCAAATCTCTCTCCCCAATTCAGCCTATAGTTAGGCTGTGGACCGTCTAATTTGAGTTCGAACCGTGACTATTTAGTGTTCACGCACAGTGAGTTTTGTTGAATTTTGCAACGACGTGTTAGGCCACTTATTGGATTAGCTTTGGTAGGTTAGGCTTGATGTTAAGCTATGTTGAACTGAGGTCTATGTTAGGGTACTTTAGGTTGAAAGCGTGGTCCTTGAACCGATTGATTATGTCAGCCATGACCTATCCATCAAATAGTACTCCTAACCAATTCGGGATTTATCTTATATTACATTGACGAAAAAATATGATCTGTTGACATTATACAATGTGGGTGTTATATACCCTGAATCATTTCCAATTGACAAAGGTGAAAGTTGTATGACCACGTATTGGTTGATATACCTGTCAACTTTTTAAATTCATTGTTTGTATTCTTTTTTCACTACGCGGCCGCCGCTGTCTGCCGCGGCCATTTGCCACCACCATCGAGTGATCACTATCACCGGCATCATCATTCAATACCGACACTAACACCACCATATCTCCCCTTCCGTCACCACAACACGATTTATGGAATTGCTTTCTCCATTCTCATGACCGCTCCTCGATCATTTTCTAATGCAAGTTAGCAACCTTCACATGTTATTAACACTAGAGAAAATTCTACGTGATGTCGCCTCCAGAATCTTCCTCGTACAAAAACTATCACACCTTGAATCCAGTAAGAATTGGGCAATGACACGGCCGTCCTTTCATTATAAGGGCACAATCTTAAATACAACCAATTACCTGTTATCAATGTGTGTGTGCATATATATCAGCAGGTTGGTTACAATATCAAAGTTTTTATAAATCTTCAAAAAGAATATTTACATCTCGTGCTAACAACCAAACCCGACACTCATCTCAGTCATGTGCAATATACAATTAACTAAGCTCACACCCAAAAATCCAATGAATGAGATGACGCAAATGCTTCCGTTCTATCGGCCGCTAACCGAGGGACTTGAAAGCCATTTAAGATGAATGAGATGAGCAACCACAACCCGATGAATAATGCATCTCTTCTAAGCAAATTGAACATCCACTATGCACATTTAAAACACAAAAACATAACTCATTTACATCAAATCCAAAATATAACAAACTTAAAAGATCAAAACAAATAATCAATGGTCTAGTCCATTGGTCAATCTCATATCAAATTACACGTCAATAGTCCATTCCATTGATCAATCTATTGCTTAATATCAAACCATTGTCACAACATAATGCTTGGTGGCAAGGAGATCAAGATTTCTCATTGGCAAGGTCTCCACCTATTATCAATCGGTGGCTTGGCCTAAAAGGATATCCTCAATTCGATATGCATACGCAGAAACCCCTAATTAGGTTCACAGCGATATTGAGCATCAAACTATTATCTTTTACTGCTAGAAATCCAATTCATACCCAATCTCATAAACCAACATATATTTCACAAATCAAACATATAACCTTTCACAACTCAGCTCATTTGTAAGATTTACTTTTCGTAAAACATTTTCAAATCATATCATAAACCAGATTTGTAAAGCAATACATATTATAAACTTTCATAATTCATTTCATAACATATTTCTAAAACCATTCACAAATAACCAAGGTGCTCAATCCAAATTTTTATGCAATAAGAATGCCATTTCATAACTCATACTATAGCTACACCATATCATTTTTGAAATATGAATTTACAAACTCAAAGAAGAGATAGCACCACTCACTTGGAAAAGCCTAAAACCAAACTACGCAAGTTACTCGAACCGTCATACTCGCAATTCTATCAAAGAAGCGAGAAATATCATTTAAATAGAGTAAAATGCCGACTCAACTACAAATTGGCCAAACCAAGCTTACTCGCTAATAAAAAAACTCCTACGCGCTAACAAAACTCTTGTTGGACGAGGATATTCAAAGCTATCCGCAATGCGAAAGTTGAGCGCGAAATTTCAAAAATTCGAGTCGACCAAACCGAAATCCGGAATCGATTCTGTCAAACCCCACAACTCTACATTGTCCTAACCTATTATTTCCATATATATACTCACATTTCGACAACTCCTCAATCGAATCTCACAGTTCAAAGTTCACATAACTTCGAATATACGGCCTAACTCCAAAACCTACTCTCAAATTATATGAACTACGGGCTTGAATACTTACTAGACGTAGCAAAACGTAGTTAATCTGGCTTGTCGGGTGCCCGAAACGAATTTTTCTCTATCTGTTTCTTCCTTTCCTCTTTCTTTCCCTTTTCTTTTATAAGGGAAGAAGCCCTCACCCTCTCAGACTCTTCTCAGTTCAAGGCGGTGGAAATCCTTTTTCTTTTCTCTTTTCGACTTTTCAAATCCCCCGCATTACAGAATCCTACAACATCGTTCGCGAGGATCTTCCCACGGGAAGCAGCACGAGCATCATCGTCCCCCAGTTTTTCATGTTCCTTAAAGTTGGGGAAGACATTCGAGTTCGATCTCCTCTTAAAAGAAGACAGAAATTGAATTGTTTTAACTAGTTTATGGGCCCGTTTGATTCAACTTTGCAAATGAACCTTAGAGGAATGTAAATACCTTTAGGTTAAAGCCCCTTGGGGAAATGCAAATGGCGTTTGGTAAAAAATTCTTTGTGAAGCTATTTTAGGCCAAGTAGTGTTTTCCTTTTTTTTTTTTTTGCAAAGGGCTTTGGGACCCTTTTTTTATTAAAAAAAAAGTTACCTTTCGCTGGAGCCAGCGAAAGGCTAAGGGCGACGGCCGCCGTCGGCGAGCCAGATCTGGCGTCGGCGGCCGTCGCCCGAGGTCGGGCGACCCAGGCGCCGTCGGCCTGGGTTGCGCGACCCCAGGCGACCGTTGGCCTGGGTCGAGCGACCTCAGGTGGCCGTCGTCTAGGGTCACTCGACCCTAGGCAACCTCACCGGCCAGATCCGGTGTCATTGGTCGCTCTCGTCGGCCGCCCTCGCCAACCGCCCTTTCGCAAAGAAGATGAACAGTAATAAGGTCAAAACCTGAATATTAAAAAATAAGTGAAGATAGTTTGGGAACAAAAAAATTAGGTTCAGCATTCCCAATGCTGACTTTTGGCTGAAAGTCCATTGGAATGGCTTGCCAAACGCCCCAACATTTTTTCAAGAGAATTTCGTGAGAAAGCTGAACCAAACGGGACCTATTACGTGCACAACAAGTACTAAGTTTTAGTTTTCTTTTTCCACCCCGATGCAGTCAGTCGCACTGTACTATTCTCTCGATTATCGCCATACCACCAATTTCCGATAGATTCCAAATTGTCCCAATTCGATTTGTTTAATGTTATAAGGTACATGCACTTCTCTGAACCGGGTCCGTTCCGTCCAAGCCCTTTCCCTAGACTTTCCGCACGTTCCACATCTTATCGCAGAGGCACCGATCTCAAAGTCTCTCCCTTTTGAAAGTTTAATATTAATCAACTCCATAATGCAGAGAATTAGAATGGTCCTGTCGCTTTATATTAGCATTAAATAATCAACCCCACATAGGCAATTACTGAGTATTATAATACCAAAAGCATATACTAATGGTGCTTAAATAATTTAAGAAACGGCAACTCGGGTACATGCATGCACCGACCCTCGCGAGAATTGCACCAGATTTTTGAGATCTAGCGTGAAGAGGGAGAACGGCGACGACAGCAGACGGAAAGAAAGATGCGCGACGAGAAGTACGAGCTACGCAATACTCAGTACCGTATGTACAGCACTCGAAAACACGAAGGTTATTCATACATGTCTAAAGCATGCCATAATCAAGCATCACAAGCTGGAAACACAAGATTAAAGCACCACGAACGGAGATCAACTCGGTTACTATCTAATAAACAAGCTGGTTATCAGAACGGTGCTGGTGATGAGTGACGAGGTCTTGGAGCATCCAGAGATCGGCCGAAGACAGCTCGGCGCCTGTGCCCGGCTCCTCAGCAGCTGGCTCCAACCCCAAGAAAGATTCCAAGCTGGCGATCCGCTCCTTCAGTTCGCATCCTGCGGTTCCGGCCTCATCCTCCGGCTCGTCGGGGGCCACGCACCTCTTCTTGGCCGACGGCTGGGCAGGGCCCGGGGCCGGGGGGTCGCAGGGGGCGGAGAAGTTGAGCTTGGCCTTGTCGCCGCGGATGCGCTTGGCGGCTTCGTCGTAGGCTCGAGCCGCCTCCTCGGGGGTCTTGAAGGTGCCGAGCCAGACGCGGACGCCCTTGTGGGGGTCCCTGATCTCGGCGGCCCACTTGCCCCACGGCCTCTGCCGGATCCCTCTGTACACGTTCTTGCGAGGCCTCTGGCTCTGGCTCTTGCTCTTCTGGGTCTCTGGCACGAGTCCATGACCCGCCTCCTCGTTCTTCTTCTCTTCGCTCATCATCACTAACCAACAAGGTAAAAAAAAAAAGAAAAAAACAATGACAAGTAGTTTAGATTAACATTGATCTAAAGATGAGATGTGTTAAACAATAAGAAGGTATAAATGGAGATTCATATCAGTAGTCATTTAGTCAAAAGTTGGTCGGTCGATTCTTCTATACCAACCCTAGCTGTTATGTACGTATAAATATGTCTAGTCAAGTATTAGTTCGGAACGTCAGTGACTATCTTTTGGACATCAAAGGGTCGATATCATTTTGAAGATCATGCAAAGAGAACAAGAGAAAAAAAAAAAGTTGGATGTACTAAACTAGACCTACCTTGGCTGAGTTGGCTAGGGTTGGGAGAGAAGGGGCTGTTGGGAGGGTGGCCGCCATGGTCGGCCGCCGGACCGCCGCCGAAGCCGAGGAGGTCGGAGGCGGGGTCGAGCTCGGACCAGAGCTCGTGGGCGGTCAGCTTCAGGTTGGGGCGGCGGCGGTTGAGCCGCTCCTCGACGAAGTCGGAAATGATGTCCCCGCCACACATCGCTCACGCCCGACCAGAGAGATGGCTCATCAGAGAGAGAGAGAGAGGTACGAGGCTCGAGGCTTGGTAGCGAAACGAGAGGAAAACGAAACGACGATGGTGTGAACGGAGGAACTAGAGTGACATGGAGAGACAATTTATAAACAAAAATTGGAGAGAGGAGAGGAGGGGAAGGGGGGGGGCGGTTGCAGTGCAACCAATCTCTGATTAGAGAAGGACAAAAGAAGAGAGGGCCACAACCCTTTTTTTGGCTTTTCGTTTGTTTGTATGCTGATCAAGCGGTGACGAGCGAATCCTGGGGAACTGTGCGTTGCTTGACCGTGCCCGATGCCGTTGATCTCTCGGTTTTGCGTTCGTTTTTCTTTTTTCTTCCCTTTAAAAGATAATCGCCTTACGTTACGACTTACGAGTACCTGAGATTTGATTCGATATTCAATTTGCCTATTCGTACTCCAAAAACTTTTTCTTTCTTGGACCCTCGATTTTAATGGAGCCTGGTGTGCATCCGACACGATAAGCTGAGCGATGGGACGAGGGCGAAAAGCGAGGGTTGTCGCCCCTGAAATTTTATTCGATATTCAATCACAGTCCTCTAAAACTTTTCTTCTTGTGCTCTCGCTTTTGATGGAGTCATGGATACATTGCATATGATAAGTTTAGCGACGGAACGAGGGCGAAAAGAAAGGGCTGTTGCAATCTCTGGGTCTGCGTTATTCTTTCCTTAAAAAATAATCGCGTTATGTCGAGAGTATCTGAAATTTTATTCGATATTCAATCATCGTACTCTTAAACTTTTCTTTCTGTACTCTCTATTTTGATGGAGTCATGCGTACATCCGGTATGATAAGTTTAGTGACGGATTGAGGGCGAAAAGCATGGGTTGTTGCATCCCGCCCCCTTGGCGGCCCATATTACAACTTTGATTCTGCTTCTTTCGTAGAAAATGAATGATTTAGAAAATATTTTCCTAAAATTGATCTTTTGTATCGTTTGAAATAATTAGTTATTGGAAAATATTTTCGTTATCAATAACAATTGTCTAAATATTTTCGTAGACGATGAAAATATTTATCGTTTGTTTATTTTTGTAAATGACACAAAAAATTGTCTTTTTTATTTTAAAGTTTTTTAGATGATTCATTTTTCTCGAAACAAACACAACCCTTATACGTATGTGCTTACCATTTTCGATCTTATTCAGAAAGTTCGATCATCGAACCCTCATTTTGGATTGTCCTTAATCAAGCTCGTCGGCCATTTTTACGCTTTCTTTTTTCTTGTGGTCCGTCGCTAGATAAGCATTCTTGAAAGGTACAATTGATCAACAAAGTAATTGAGGGAGACGGTTAATAAGTTAGCCTTGAAGAGTTTCTAATTACCAAAACCATGAATTATACCTTCGGTGGTGGAACGGTAGCAATCCAATTGACAAATGACAAAGTTCCTACTAATTAGATGTATAGAACTAGCATGAAAAATCGCGAGGGGAATGCTAGGCTTAGTAACGGTCGTTATCACAACTACTTATTTATTTTGTTTTTTTACAGGTTTCACGAATCGGTTAAGTACAAGTTTTTGCGCCCTGTACAGATGGCTCTAACTACAACGGTTTACACGAGATTGGTGAGATTTGAACCGAGAACGATTAGCACCAGGTCCTAAATTGGAAATCCCTCGAAATCCCGGCCAATCGGGTCGATCCTGGAATTCATACGGCCAATTTTGACAAAAAGCTTAAACAAGAAGACTTCTTAGGATTTTGCACAAACCACGTTGTCTGGGGACACATGTTGTCATAAGTCACAGAACATGTCTGTCATCTTTAGGACCAGGAGCTAATCGTTCTCAGTTCCAATATTTTATCTCTGGATTCGGTTCAGAACCTACCCGGATTACCCGATCTGCACATCTTGACAAATGTTCATCCCGAATAATCAAATTAGTATAATAAATAGCTGATTCCTCTATTTTTTTTGTTAAGATTTGAAATGATAAATGATTAACTCATTACCATCATATGTAATCGGAAAATTTTTCAAATAAGGACATAAAGTGGTTATTTTCTTGAAAAATGATTCATAGTGGATATTGTTTTAAATAAATGCATATAATGATCAAGATCGTTTCAAATAAGGGTATGATTTCGACGGTTGGCCAGATGTTCGCCGGTTGGATATTGTCTGGCCGCTGGAGCAGGGTACTTTTGTCGAAAAAATTCTAAGTAAAGAATAGCCAAATTCCGAAAAACAACCCCCAATATTCATTCCTTTCTCTCTCCCAAACATGAGCTCCACACCCAATCGCCGTGAACCAAAAGAAGAGCTCGTCGACTAGGACTAGATCAAGAACATCGACGGCTTCCTCGACTGCCGCATCAAGAAGACAACGACGAGGCAACATGCTCGCACGTGCATGCATGGAACAAGAGGCCGAGGCTGGTTGGAAGCTCGTGCTCCTCCTCCTACAACGGTGTCGCCTCGGAGAAGATAGAAGCCCTCAATAACCTCATTCCAGTCACTAGAGACGGCCGCGACGTCGTCACCGCCGCCGAGCCATTTCAAGAAATGGCGAATTACATCCTCCAGTTGTGGACCCAAGTCGTCATCCTCCCAGAAGCTGATTCATTTCTATGGATCGACCAATCTTCCCGAGAAAACAACGCATAAGCAAGAATGCTTCTTTTGTATTACCCAATTTTTTTTGACAAAAATGTCCTTACTTTGATGGTCGAAAAGTCTCCGGTCGGTGAACATCCAACATGCTGGCTAACTCATGTCCTTATTTGAGATTGAATTGTGATTATTGCTGACCCTTATTAAAAACAAAGCCCATTTTGAGCCATCTTTTGAGAAAATGGCTTCACTATGTACGTCCTGATTCTAAATAAAAAATTTATATCCAAATATTAGTTAAATGAATTTTTTTATCTAGTTCGAGTTATATCTTCTTATTTCATCGAGAGTTTAATTTTTAGTTATATTTAGTAAAACGAATAGATAATTAACAAAAGCTAGTGAAATTTTGCAACATATATTAGTTTGCCTGTGCCTTCTAGTGAGCAAATCGCCCAATTTGTAATACATTGAATGGAATAACAAATGAAATAGAAACAATTGACAACATCGTCTTGTTTTCTATTTTCCATTTTTTAATACATAGAATTAAAGAAGAATTTTAAAGACCCACGCGATTACACTCCGAATGTATATATGATTATCATCGACGAATACTTATATTGATGGAAATTATAACGCAATCTACATTCGCTGAATGCATATTTAGAATGTCGAATTTTTAATATACCCATCTCAAAATTTAAAGAAGAAACAGAGAGAAAATTAGTTGATCTCGAGATTATTTCTTTTTTTGTTATGAGTCTGTGACGCTTTTTCTGACATCGAGAAACCATTTTCAACACGACAAAAATCGACATAAAGGAAGTTTCAAACACGACAAGAAATCTTCCTTTTTTACGATTAGTTGAATAAATCTTACAAACTTTACAATATCTTTCAAAAGATATCAAGATTGTGTCCGTGAACCCTATGGCAGGCGACCTCGACCAGGCGGAACGTCAGCTCCATCTCGTGCCATGCCCCGTTGGTTTTTTTTTGGGTCAAAAAGCGTTACGTTTCATTCATTGACCGACAAAGGATAACGTGAATTATGGGTATCTGATCATAAAAGATCCCAATAGAGGTAACTGTGATGTTACGAGTCAATCTCGACTTCTCAAGCTCTTTCCCGTGGATCTCCTTCCCCAACTGCTTGAGACCTTTGTAGCCCCTACAAACGGCTCCCGAGCCTCTCTGCCGCCAATCCCCGGACATATGTGGTACGCGAAACTGTCGAGCTTGTAGTTCTTCCCGAGCTTCCTTGCTTCTTCCCCCCGACCCCGACCCCGACCCCGACGAAGGTGTAGTTAGGGTTGGCGAGGAACGTGTGGAGCGACTCCAGGACGGACCTCACATGAAGGAGCTGGAAGATGAGGCACCTGTGGCTGACCCACAGTTGAAGGATCGCGGCTTGATACACGTTGGATTTGTAATTGAGGCAGCACTCGACGTCGAGGCCGGCGGTGAAATCCTCGAGTTGGGGGCGATTAGCGGGCTCGACATCGCGAATTCAAATCAAGACGACACCGTTACCTTTTTTTTTTTTGGGCCACGATATTTTTCAAGATTGTGATAGGGTGGATTTAAATCCCGAAGTAATTTATATGTCCCATGTAGCCTCAAACCGAGAAAAAAGGTAACTCTCGCGGAAAATCATAAGCACGCTCACAATTTTCTTTTTCTTGTACGGACATACATTAAATGATAAATTAGTCTTATTAAAATAGAGACTTTCATAATTTATGGGGGAATAATTTTTATTGAGGTAAAATAATTTTCCTTTATATTATTTTGATTACGCGCATCTATCAATTCCCTTTTCGGCAATTATTCTTTCACTGATAATGAATCGAAGAAAAAAAAAGAGTTCAATATTTTATCATGAGCAAAAGTACTTAATTAAGGTCACTTGAAAATTAATAGAACTAGAGTCGACATTATGCTTTCTCTCCTTCGACTTGACTCGGAATAATCACGCTTTTAATTATACCCGAAAAGAAAAAGTCCATTCTTTAATTCCTCTTTCAAGTAATATATATATTTTTTTTAATTTGTGGAATTATTCCGATTTTTCTATTTTAGTAGGTTATTTTGGGAAGAATTTTAATTGCTTTTTATGAAATATTGAATTTTATTTCCTGAATCCTTGACCGAAAGGGGTTTCTTTTTCTCTTTTTCCTTTTATTATGGGGGGACAAGGAACATATGGGGTGGAGTTGAAACGATTGTAAATTAGGGTTTTGGTTCATGTTTTGATTTTACATTGTTAGAATATTGGTCCCTCCAGCAGATTTTCCTTCTTGTTTTGGCCACCCTCTTGCTTTTATTTGTTTTATTATTTTTTTTGTCAAAAGAAATTTCCATTTAAGGCAAGCCATAAAGCTCCCAAATAAACCAAAAATCAAGGCATATCATCATAGTATGGTTTGCATTGATAATCACAGGCTTGTCATTCAAGAACATATTTGCCTGCTTTTATTTGTTCTTCAACAATTGTAGACATATATAATATATGACGAGTCCAATCACCCTCGGGATGCTAAAACAGCAAAAATTTATCCAAAAAGTCATAAATCTATTACATTTTGCTATTTCAGTTCCAAACCTTTTAATTACGCCAATTGAGTTCTAAATTTTTTCACGTTTTGCCAATTGAGTTCATCCGTTGATGTGGAAGTCAACCGTCTTACGTGACACGGCTGACGCTGACATGAATAATTTTTAATAAAAATATTATTTTTTTTCGAATTTGCCTATGTTTTTCAAAGAGTATACGAGCAATGCCATTCAACTGACATATGAAAAATGAAAAATGCCAAGTATAGTCTAATCTTTTTTTCTTAGCAAAAAAAAAAAATACTAAGCATATTTAGTAAATATTTCATATTAAGAATGAATTCATTGAAGTTTTTGAGTACTCAAAAAGTAACCCTACGGCATATGGTAACCTCGACGTGACAAATTCACCAACTTCTTATTCAAGCAGATGCCCCGAAACTCTAAGAAAATTATTACTCTTCGTCTTTATTATGACTTAAAGGCACGAGCGTAGAGATCCATTTATTTGAAAATTATGAAAATATTGTGCGTAAAAAAATTCTAGGGAAAATGACACAAGCAGTTCCTGAACTTTGACTCAATGTGCAATTTGGTCTCTGAACTTTGAATTTGTTCAATGTAGTCCCTGAACTTTAACCTAATGTTCAATTTGGTCCATGAACTTTTAATTTGTTCAATGTGGTCCCTGAACTTTTAATATGTGTTCAATTTAGTCCCTGAACTATTTGAAAATGTTCAATGTAGTCCTTCCATTAATTCAAGTGCAGGGACTATATTGAACATTTTCATATAGTTCAGGGACTAAATTGAACACATATTAAAAATTCAGGGACCACATTGAACAAATTAAAAGTTCAGGGATCAAATTGAATATTAGGTTAAAGTTCAGGGACTACATTGAACAAATTAAAAGTTCAGGGACCAAATTGCACATTGAGTCAAAGTTCAGGGACTGTTTGTGTCATTATCCCAAAATTCTATAAGTCTTATGAATAAATTAAGTCTAGGCTTTTGACTTGTGTATGCCTCAACAAGCAATTTGCATGTAATCAGTATAGTTCGAACCGATGATTTATGGTGGAAATACCCCGACATCTGATCCAACTGCACCGTCATTGAGAGTTACTACTATTTGTTATGGTTACCTCATACTGAAAATTTAACAATAAATCAATCTTCTCAAAAGTGACCTCAACGAGATTGATCGAATGATCAATTGTTTTATTTAGTTGTGACAATCTCATTATTTCCGCTCAATTGACTCTTGGATGCCATGTATCTTCCGTTATTGTGGACATCTCATTCAATTAATGCACGTGAACGGGATGATTTGCGTTAATCGAATTGAAAGATCGGTGCTCCAAATTTAGAAAAAAATACAAAACTTTAGAAAGTAAATTAGACGAAATAAACGAACAATACAGGTCTTCTGTCATATGATTTAAGGACAAGACCGAGGTTGTTTGTCTTCTTCACATTAGTAATTTACCCGACAGAAGAGAACTTGGTGTATCATACAATAAACATAATTAGCAAATGCCAAACTTATCCAATAGTCATGTTATTGAATTCCGTAGTGTATAAACTATGCTTTGATAGTCAGTTCACAATGCACGTTTCCATCTGATCTCTTTCTGTAAATACAAATCGTTCAATCGAAAGAATTTACAGTGTATTAAGACCTCAAGGAAGCACTAGATGAAATCTCACTATCTGGATGGTATCGACATCTATCGCGAATCATGAGGAAAAAGTGGAAGAAAATTTACAGGAGCGATTAAATCCCGATAGCATCAAGGAGCTCCGAGTGTTGGGTCACGGAAACTAATGTATTGGCCACAATAGCGCCACTGGCGGCGACAGCAGGGACCCCGATGCCCGGAAATGTCGAATCGCCGCAACAGAAAAGCTGAGGGATACGGGTCGAATGTCCGGGGAAAGAGTCCTTACCTGCCTGAATAGCCGGACCGTATGTTCCTCTGTTTCTCCGAAGAAATCTTTGATGCGTCAATGGAGTTCCAATCAACTTCACCTCGCATTTGTCCCTGCTGAATCCTGGTCCGAGTACACGCTCGACAGCTCTCCACATAACCTGGTGGATCAATGCACAAAATAGTGTTTTTCTGCTTCTGACTTAGAAGTTATACCAAAGTTACTCGACAAGGAGGAGCAGATCCAAGAAGAAATACCTGTGATCTTTCGACTTTCAGTTTCTTGTACTCAGCACTGCTGCGGTCAAGTCCTTCCCAGAGTTCATATGGTTCAGTACCAGGAGTATAAGCATGTAGCACATGTTTCCCTGGCGGTGCCAGGTCCGGACTTAGTACGCTTGGTACAGATAATAGAACGACATTCTGGTCAGCATCGACTCCTCGATCCCAGTCATTCACAACTATATGATGAATTCCCAAATCCTCAGACACACCCTGAGAAGGAACAAATCTTCTAAAGAGCTTCAGAGATGAATTAAATGTTGAAACAACAACAACAGGTTCTGGTTGCAAAAAGTGACTAGCCTTAAAAAAAGGAACCAGAACATTAAGCAGGACAAGAAACTCATAATTAGACGACGCTAAGGTAGCAAGGAAGATGCGGTGCTATTGACAGAAACATCTCCAGTAAGTTACCCCACTCTCTCTCTCTCTCTCTGCGCGCTCACACGCATTCCCCTGCGCTTTAATGTGTGAGTGTGAAGAAGCCCAGCAAACCTAATGACCACAAAAACTCGTAAAATAAAGCCCTCGAGAGATTTGGATTGGAAACTTATGAATTGTCAAGATACTGCAGATGGCCTTCATCAGCATGAAGATCAAAAAATTAAGAGGATGCAGAATTAAAGTACTTGGTAAAGTGTGCAAAATGTTGCAACGTGGTTAACTACGAAGTACGAAGTGTAGGGAGGCCACATCATGTATGCCAGAACCTAATTCCCTCTATTGTTTAACGCTTGAGAAGATACAGAAAGAAAAAAGACATCCAGCATTCTGCAAAATTATAAAGCAGTAGGAGCTAGAGGGACTGAGAAAACTGTCCCCTACAATATTTGAAATGCTCACCTGAGCATCAAAACCAAGATGAAGATGCATAAAAGATTCACACTGTGGAGTCCTCTTAGTCCTGTCCGAATACGACTTTGGAATAACTTCCTCAGGTAACAAACCTAAAGTGTCCCACATAGATGCATTGCTGACGACAGCTTTCTTAGCACGCACAAACTGCAAAATCCACAGATGCAGTTCTTCAATTTGTGTCGATCTTATGATTAAATCCAGTTAAAACAATTTTTAAGTCTTGAATTTTCCCTGAAAAGTCCACTCACTTGACCGCTTCTTAATTTGACTCCAATGGCTCGGCCATTTTCAACAACAATCTTTTCCACATGACTCCTGAGAGAAATCCGTCCACCAAATTTTTGCATTCCCCTGATGAGGGCATCAACAATAGCTCCACTTCCATGAAGAGGGTACTCAAGACTGCAACCAGGTTTGTACCACTCAGCAAACATGTACACCTGAAACTTGCAGATATAAGGTGTCACCACCTCAAAACAGTGGATGTAAGCTAAAATAAGTTAACTACATATTTCAGCCATAGCCAACTAGCAACTTCAAATAAAAGAACTTACATGCAAGAACTCGGAAATTAATAAGTTAAGGAAAGTAGGCATAACTACATAGAGAGGAGGCAATCTCCCTTGTTAATATCAGGATTGAGCTTAGCCATTTTATCACAGCATTGTTCATTTACTAAAGAAGTAACTATGGCGGTAGTTTCTGCAAGATTGGGAACTATATCTAAAAGAAACTCGCAACACTGCATAGTTTGATAGAACTTAAGACCTCCAAATGATTAACAATCCTCCTAAATTAAAAATAACAGCTACTTAACTTCTAAAACTTTATCAAGTGGCAGAAGATTGAAATTAATGAGCTACAGGGTACATGCTTTGATGCTTTAGAGTTCGCAAATCGATGAATCACGATCTATACAACTGCCAGCAAATATTCTCTTGAGACTACTATACTAATCATTTCATGACCTGTTAACAATAAAAATAGCTTATTCACACAGAATTCAATACACAAGTAGAACTTGTAACAAAAAAGTTCCTGAAAGAGAATATGGACATCCCAAGGATCACAATGACTGATGGTAGGAGCTTTTAAATATCTTAAAACATTATAGTTACCATCTCTGCTGAGAGTATACCATTAGATTTCACCCCTGCAAGAAGAAAGGCAAGAAGGTCCACCCAATTCCTTATAAAAGGATCTTTTAGTTCCAATGAGTCGATGATTTCTGAGAAGGGTCTAAGAAGCCTTGTCGCACCAATAGCACCCTGAGGTCCCATTTCGATGAAAGATTTCAACAAAGAAGGAGCATATCTAACGGCAGCGGTGGAAAGGACACCCAAATCACCACGAACAGATAGAGGAGGCAGAGCCATTGCAGCTGCAGACATTGGAAGCACTGCATCCTGCAAATTCATTTTAAGTAAGAGAAGATGAAATTGTAGCAGCAAAGTAACAAAGAAAGATGCACATACGTCAAGTACAAGCAATCACATTCATTACTTGTAGAGTAAAAGATATCGACTATATCATGATGTTCTTTATGATGGATTGTAAAGCATTAAATTAAGAGGGGCCAACTTAGTTTAATTTGTCAATACGTGGGTCAACATCAATAGAAAGGTGCTTTGCTTATAAGCCATTCCTAAAATCTTCTTTTGGTGTTGGAATCTACAACCATCTCGTTCTTTCTTCACATATTAGACAGAATGAAACAGTAGATACCAGGAGCTTTTGCCATTCTTGGACAGCATTCGGACTCGCATACTTCTCGAGGTCCTGGAATAAAATTTCATTAAAAGCATGAGCAGAAACATACTTTAAAATGATAACATCACAGATAATTAACTGAAGATCTTCCGAGACAATATCACCAAATTGACCAAATTGCTATCAGTGGACCCACATAATTTCTTACAGGAACATATGAAGCAAAAATACAGTTTATTTTTTCTTTGGAATATTAGTCAGTTCGATGTATACACTTGCGTCTTTTGAGTGCTCCCCAAGTCTGTATAATATCCCATTCAGCCTAGGAGGCAGATTACAGACCATGGTCTTCTTCTTAAATTAGACTGGAGATCTGTCAACACTTTAATGTTTATTCCAGACAACACTTCTCTACCTCGAACAGAAAGTTTTCGGTCTCCAAGTATCTAGAAGTTTCTTCATAAGGTATCTTGGTTATGCATACCAATTTCTTCAATGTACCTAAAGGAAATGGCAATCTTCACATTCTCTACCACAGTAGTTAGCACAACGAATGCTTTCATCATAACTGCTTGGTAGTTGTCTATTGCCATGACAACCATCTGTTGTTTATAATCCTGTTCAGCTCACGTCAGACACACTTAGCTTCATCTGCGAAAATCTATGTAAAGACATTTTTTCCTCTTGATATTCACACTACGATGCCTTGCAGCATAAATCCTTTTGGTAATAAGTACTCTATATTAAGCTACCTTATCGTCCATCCAAAAGTGATGACCAGCTTTTTCCACATTAGCATCCGTGTATTTGACAATGATGAGCACCATTAGATTTTCACTAATTTAGGCTCAACTGTCTGGATATCAGCTTATCCATTTCATACTAAGCAGAACATGATATATCACCATTTTCTTCAATCTGCAATTAGATAGATGGCTCTGAGAATGGTAGGTATCACTTTTAAAACTGCTACAACATTCATATATTAATAGATGCATTAAAGCTAGAACCAACGGAACATGATACTATAGATGAATAAAGGGCAAAGAAGGATCCACCTTGAAAAACTCCGTTGGACCAATACGTGACAAAAATTCACCTTCTGGTATGTACACCATCCAGGAGTCATATTTAACACAAGGAACGGACTCTCCTAATGCATCTAACACCTGATACACAAGCAAATGTTGTTATCTATCCATATCATCCAGAGATGGAAACAATACAGGAGTATACCCATGGAAAAGCGGCAATATAAACATAAGTGATCCACCCTTGATTCATGCTAGAAACAAAATACTGAAATAAGGCAAATTGGAGTGATGGAAATCAGATTACCTGTGCAAGGGGATTCGCCTGAGGACCTCTAGATTGGAAGCCAGAGAACAGAGAAGGACCGGAGTCGAACTTGTAACCCTTAATGTCAAACGCGTGAGCGGCACCTCCCGGTTGGTCGTGGCTCTCTAGCACGAGCACGTCTTGGTTGTATCTGGAAAGAAGCCCAGCGCAACAGAGGCCAGCGATACCACTTCCGATCACGACGACATCGGCCTCATGCTTCCCTGAAACTCAAACCCACAACATCACATCATAAAAGAAAAACCCAATTCAAGTATACAAATCCCATTCGAACAATACTACAGCCTCCAAGTAGCTACTTCAAAAGTGAGAACTAATACAATCTGGGTTAATACCAAAAACCAACCCAAAAGCATTTGAGAAAGTTACAACGTATTATACCTGATTGAAACTGATAAAAGCCGCAAATTACGGTCACACCCAGAAGCAACAACGCTCATATAAACGACTTAACTACACAATCAACCCAAGTCTGTACTTGCATTTGCGGAGGAAACACCAAAAAGGCCGATTGAAGATAAGGAGATGAAGGAGGACCTGGGAGAGATTTCTTCTTCTCCTGCGTGGAAGGAGGGGAGTCGTCGGTGGAGATTCGCGCCGAAACGGCTTCCTTCCTCCCGGGGTTTTGCGCCCGTTTGAAAGGGGAGAGAGGAGGACTCCATGGAAGCAAGCCATGCACGCTAGCCAACACCATGATGACTTTCTGGGGAAGATGAAGAAGCAGTGACCAAGTGAAGCAGAAGCAAAAGTTCGAAGCTGCAGCTGCTCTGCTGCGAGCCTTCGGTTTAGAGAGAGAGAGAGGCTGCAGTTGCGTTCGTTTGTGGTCGTGTCGTTTCGTTTGTAGTTTCAATCCCGCCACGTCGTCTCCTGTTTCGGGGGAAAAGATTTTGTCTGAAGAGCCAGCAGCAGTAGTTTTTGTCGGTAACGAGTGGAGCGATAGATATCAACAGTACACACATAATATCATAGTATCGTTAATTAAAAGATTAATACAACGAAAAATCTTAAACTGATATATTTATAATAATTTTATTTTGAATTAATTTTTTGATCATTAAAAATTTCAAACTGATATACATATGATAAATTTACCCTTCGTTAATTTTTGTTAAATTTTATTATCTAATTACTAAGTTTGATGACATATGGTAGTTAACGAGTATACCAGTTTGGGGTTTTACCTCTATATTTGTCACAAGTTTATCAATTTGTGATTTTTCGTGATATTAATCTAATTTAACGGATACTAATGGAGGTATACCAATTTGAGGTTTTTAGTGGTCAAAAAATTAGTTCGGGTAAAACCCCAAACTGTATAGTTGGAGTTTGGTGGTAAAAAATTAATTCGGGTAAAATTATCACACGTATACCAATGTAGGGTTTTTTATGGTAAAAAAAATAGTTCAGGATAAATTTGTCACATGTGTACCAGTTTGGGGTTTTTGGTTGTCAAAAAATTAGTTCGGGATAAAATTGTCACAGGTATACTAGTTTGGAATTTTTCATGGTATTAACCCTTAATTAAATATTATTTATGCCATTTTACCAATTTCTTTTGTGATTTTTCGTGATATTAATCCAATTTAACGGACACTAACGGAGAGTAAATTTGTCACAAATGTATCGGTTTTGGGGATTTTAATGATCAAGAAGTTAGTTCGGATAAAATTGTCACAGGTTTACTAGTTGGGGGGGTTTTTGATGGTAAAAAAATTAGTTCGGAGTAAAATTGTCACATGTGTATCAGTGTGGAGTTTTTGATGGTCAAAAAAATAGTTATGAGTAAATTTATCACGGACGCGAGGGCCCCGCCGGCGCAGCGTGTATCCCGGCGAGGCGATTTTGAGTAGTCGCCCGCCTGCGAGGTAAAATTACCTCGCCGGGCGGGCGAGGGTCCCTCGCCCGACTAATTTGCGGGTCTTTCATGATATTAACTCTTAATGAAATATTATTTATGCATTTAAGGGCCAATAATTCTCTTTTACCAGAAAAAAAGGTACATATTTTCGTGTGCGCAATAAAGGAAGAGAAAGTATGATTTTATTCGATTTAACTTGAATTTGGAAATTTATAGGATACTTAATATGATTATTAATCCAATCTTTTTTTAATTACCGTTTCACTCAACGTTTCGAAACCATTGGATTATTATTCGTTAAACACCAGTTATGCATATTATCGGAATATTTTTTACCAGCGTTTGGCAATGGAATTAGGTGGTTTTTTCTCCGAGCACTATGGAATCATGAATGAAATATAACTTCGATTGGCCGGAAAAAAAATACTCAATGATAAGAGCATTCAACGTTTTCTACTGGTTTAGAGCAACTCTCGATGAGAAACATATGTTACGGGCTAAAAAAAAAGAGTTAATACCGCAAAAACTCTCAAACTGATATGCAAATTGATATGCCTGTGACAATTTTACCCCAAACTAATTTTTTGACCACTAAAAATCCCAAACTGATACACCTGTGACAAATTTACCTCAATTTATTTCCGTTAAATTTTACTGTTAAATTGCTTTGTTAAATGACACGAGGCAATTAACGGATGTACCAATTTTATGTTTTACCATCCGTTTGTTATAGACGTACCAGTTTATGATTTTTTGTAATATTAATTCAATTTAATAGAAACTAACGGAGGGTAAATTTATTATAAATATACCAGTTCGGGATTTTTGGTGGTCAAAAAATTAGTTTGGGGTAAATTGTCATAGGTGTACCAGTTTGGGGTTTTTCGTGGTATTAACCCAAAAAAAAATCGAAGCGGGTCTATTGTAAAAGTACAATAGATTTATGATTATTTGAACAATTTTCCCGTGCTAAAACCATGCAAAAACTTCCATGGTAGAACTAGCAGAGAACCACTCAATTCATAGACAAGCACATGGATTGAACTTCTGTATCTTAAGGAAAACAACAATCCAATGTCAAAAACCTAAAACAAAGTTGCAGAAACTCCAGTATCCAAAATTTGTACCCTTCAAATTCTCGTAATCCAGATCTCAGTCCTAATTGCAGCAACATATAGCCAAAGGATGCATCACCAACTCTACGAAATAGTCAGTCTTAGCCCTCATCTGCGGAGTAGCGAAAAAAAATTGTTCTCTTTTTCTCCGTTAGAAACTCGAATTGATAATGTCTAAACCTTGGATTAGACCCTTCAAGCTCACATGGCCCGCCCGAGGATCTTCCTGCTCTGTCCAGTTCAGATGAATGCCGACGAGCAATACATTCTCGCACGGCACGCTGGGGCTACACAGCATGGTCACCGCCTCCTTGCTGTTGTACGTGCCGGTTATGTTCTTGAACAGCATGTTACTGAGTTTTACTAGTGAGGACTGAATCCGCAAAAGGAAATTTTCAGATCAATTAATTAGCGACTTGGTATCAAGATTAAGGTATATGTATTAGGAAATAAAGAGCACGTTCTTGAATGAATTGCTTAGCTTTATGCTTATGTACCTTCTGGATATCGCATTGCTGTGATGGACAGTACTCTTGATCTATGATGATGGGGCTCGTAACGTTCGTCATGACGATGTTCTCGAATATCATGTTGGAAGCCTCACTCGGCGGAGCCCCAGGCCACGTCTTCACTCGGACGCCGTTCTGCGTCCCGTTGATTGTGCAATTGCTCACTCTGATCAGATCCACTTTCTCCTCATTCTTGTATTTGCCTAGGCTCCCGACACTGCCATGACGGAGACAAGAGTTCACATTGAAATCAGGATTGAGCAGAAACTGATTTTGGTCTCGATTTTGGCATGTCAAGCAGGCATTACATTTCAGGATTATAAGTACTAGAACCCTACTTGCACGGCGCACGGTCAATGCTGCGTGGTCAACCGTACTTTAATTGGAAGTGCAACTGCCTACCTGATTCCATGTCCTGGACCGCAATCTACGTAGGAAACCGATATATTGGTGCTGCCGGGTCCGATCGAGACACAGTCATCCCCAACACCAATAGTCGAAGAAGTAATGGAAATGTTTGCAGAGTGACTAACGTGGATTCCATCGGTGTTTGGGCTGTCTCCAGGTGCCATAATGCTGACGTTGTGCACTCGGATGTTACTGGACTTGTGGATGCTCATGTGGAAGCTCTTGCCATTGAGCAGGTTGATGTGGTCGATTGTCGCGTGCGAGACGTTGCTCAATCTCAGCGACTGCATAAGATGAAGCACGAAGAATTTGTTGAAGCATCAATTGGAGGTTAATTGCCAAACTTTCTGAGGTGAAGTGACTCGAACCTACAGTTATCAGCTTGTCGCATCTGCTTTTATTCTGGCAGCTTGGGTCTTTCCAGGCTTCTGATCCTTGGCCATCGAACAAAGCCCTCCCGGTCTCGCCCGTGAGGACTAGTCCGTGCAAGTCTCGGAAAACGATCCAATCGTTGGTCGGGAACTTACTGGGGGACGTCGGTGCCTTCAGAGTCCCTCTGACCTCCACTCTCGGCGAATAGAGATTGCGGCAAGGTCCGGTGAATGAAAGTGGACCAACCAAAAACGTGTTGTTGGGTACATAGAGGGTCGAATTGCTGTGGTGTGCGCATGCTTCCTCCCAGGCTGACAAGAATGCCTGTTCAAGTATTGCTTAGAGTCAAAAAATGTTGTCTCTCTTCTTGATTGCCATCTAATTCCAATGGGCTAAAGCTAGCTAATGATGCATCTTATGCTTAAAACAATCCATGTATGATGCAACTCTAGGTGAAACAAAACTGTTACTTCCTTTTTTAACTTGGAAAGTTTTGTACCGGTCCTGCAAAAGATGAACAATACCCCAATTTAACTACTTCAATCCTAGTACATCTGTAGCTGTCAACAATTGAGAGTGTACCATGCTGCTATCCGTCTCTCCATCGGCCACTGCTCCATAATCCATGACATCGAAAACTCCCACCAACAGTACTTGAGTCGTTGGAGGTTCTCCACCCGATTGACCAGGAGCAGTCTCGAGTGGATCATCTGCCAGAGGTGAAGGTGCGGGCACGTAGGCATCGGCCGGGGACGAAAAACACGTGGCGATCACTAGACAAATTACAAGCATGGGAACTATTCTCAAGGTAAGCTTCATGTTCATTTTGTTATATGAATCCCTCTTCTGAGTTAAGCTTATGCAGTTTCTTGTAAAGCACAGATGTTGAAAGTTCTTTTAAAGCAATTTACACTAAATTCAGCAATAAATGGAACCATGCTTCTGGGTGGAGTTTCCCCTCTGGTTATAGTAACTGCTCTGTCATTAAAAACTTCACATTCGAAACTTGTTCTTGCGATAAATTCCGTTTCATTACTGTTGAATGACCTTTTATTGTCACATATATCTCTGTTCTTGAGACTCCAAGCCTAGTGGAAATATCCCAAACTGTTCACAGACAACATTGACTTGGGTCACATCTTATAGAAGATTATAAGAATGAAACTTCTGTTTAGCCTCTAATATATGAGGTCTCTCAGCTGTTTAAGTCCAACTCCAGGAAGAGTCACATTCCATTGAAAGCACAACGGGTGCTCGAAATATTTCCCGATGCAAGAAATAGGAAAGACGGTCCGGCTAACTGATTTCCCAACTTTGACTGATTGTTGAGAATGCGGGATCAGTGTTCGAGCTGATATTTGAGCGGGCAGATAGAAAGATAGAACCAAGCTTGCTGTTCGTTTACGCACAGTTTGGATTGATTTATTAAGAGGGAAACGGAAAAGATTTGGTTTACTATCGTTTGGATGTTTATGACAGACAAGAAAGGAGATGAAGAGAACTTGGTCATCGCATGTTTGGTTGCAGACGAGAAAAGAACGGAAGTGAATTTAATCACATCTTCATAACTATTGTGCCTACTTCTCCATTGATGCAATTAAATGAAATTTAGTAACGTGGCCTTTAAGCTCGTTAAAGGTTCAACATCATGAATAATTAACTCATTTCATAGAACAATCATCTCAATCCATCCTTTTTACCAAACCCAGGATTTAAAAAAAAAAAAAAATTTCTCATCTTCTCTGGTCCCTCCATCCAAACTCAATGTTAATGAAGAAAATATTAATGGCACCATGCACATAAAAAGTTAATCAGAAGCCTCAAGTTCATTAGGACAAATTCTCTCCAAAGGAAACAAGAGAATGTATAAAAACTGGAATTTTACTGAACAATCAGCATGAGAAGTGGCTCAATCCAGCGTGCCGATCTAATAATGCTCTCGTCATCACGCGGTCGCAAGGTTCACCGTGTGAAAACTGCACTTGAGGGTAACGAAGAAAGGATCAATCAAAGCTTTACGTTTAAGTCTTCCAGTCTTCCAGTCTTCAGTCATATGATTCCCCTTGAAGAACTGATTCTGCTTCCAGACAGACAAGCATCCTCAGCATCTCCAGCTTTTGTAGTCAAACAGGGTCTTTGCTGCGACGTCTCGTGTAAATTCATGAAGTCCACACCGGATATTAACCTTCAAAGAAGCATTCCCAGTCAAATGATTCGCCCATAGGCCATCATCATTGTTTAAATTGTTCCATCGAGGTCAAGCACACGGAAGTAACCGGACGGTTCTACTGTTCCGTTCTTGTTTCGATGCCGCTAGATTCCCGAAAGAGGTGATAAAAAAGTTATTGGTTATCAATTTTCCGGTAGGTTGTTGGTAACTTACCGAACAATTTTATGAAATTACTCACTTTTGTTTTTGATAAGTTCATGAGTTGCGCTAATTTAGGTTGAGTTAAAAAAAACAAACAAACAAATGTCGGTATAGGTAATTCAAATGAAAGTTAGTAACTCATGGAAATTTAATGAGAGAAAAATTGGTGAGTTGCGTTAATTTAGGTGGATAATCTCTAAAAAGAGTTAAATATAAGGGATTGCTAATCAAGACAGATAAAAATTGGTAGCTCAATAGAATATTTAGTAAATTAAGAAAAATAAGTCAATGTTGGTAAGCTACTCAAACGAGAATTTGCATGATTGTTAATTTAGAAACTATAGTAAAAGTTAGTAAATTCATAAAAGTCTTGATAAGTTACTAACAAGTTACCCGGAGAAAAAGTCATAATTTTCTCTTTTTTTTCTAACAATTCTTTTAACACTGACCAATACTTAGTGAATTTTACCGACATAAAAAAAAAGATAATGCATTTTTGTTTTTGCAAGAAACAATTCTGCATACAGTACCCAACTAGCTACTACTAATTTCTGTGCTAATTATTTTTCCGCATCTTCTTGCTTCCTGTTTGGTGCAAAAACAAAACAGAAGAGGCACAGAACTGAGCTAATGGCCAACAAAATTCCCATTATGCTTGCTAGTAGCTCAAATGTGCATAATGACATGTTATACCAGCGCTTATGATTTATGTGTCAGCCCGGGTGTATTATGCCGCTAATCCATACGATACCAGGTTAAGTAGAGGAACAGATATGAGATCAAACATGATGATTAACAGTTGTACAAGCAAAATATATAGTTAGCGTTCCAGACCACGAATGCATAAACAGTCCAACAGTGGCGGTCTGTTGGTTTAGATGTTCCTGAGCAAAAGTACACCACAAGTGCCATAACTTGTGTACGGCGATCACTTTGGTGTCATAACTTTTTTTCGGATCACTTTGGTGTTAAGTCGGAGAAAAAGAGATCACTTTAGTGCCAATTTGGTCGGAAATCCGACGTGGCATTTTTATTAATTTTTTACGCCGACGTGGCTCGCCGGAGGCTGAGTCAGCGTGTACAGTTAGCATTTTTAATTTTAAATAATTTTTTTTAGCGTGTACAGTCAGCATTTTTAATTTTAAATATTTTTTTTCCTTTTTTTTTCTTCTTTCCTTTTTTTTTTCTTTTCTTTTTTTTCTTTTCTCCCCTCGCCGGCCGGTTGCCGGTGGCCGGCCGGCCACTGGCGAAGCTCGAGAAGGGCTGGGCGAGGGTGGCCTTGCCCATGGCCGGCGAGGGGCGACCGACCCTCGCCGGCGACAGGCGAGGCCGGCCCAAGCGAGGCCTCCCCTCGCAGGGACGCCGACGAGGGTCGCCCTCGCCGGATCCGACGAGGGCGACCCTCGCCGGCGTCGGGCGAAGGAAGCCCTCGCCCGGGCGGGCGAGGGTCGCCCTTGCCGATACGCGAGGGCGACCTCGCCGGTGTCGGGCGAGGGTCGCCCACGCCCGACTCGGGCGAGGGCGACCCCGCCCGCCCGGGCGAGGGCTTCCTCGCCCGACGCCGGCGAGGGTCGCTCCCTGATCCGGCAGGGCGACCCTCGCCCGCCCAAGTGCGAGGGCTTCCTTCGCCCGACGCCGGCGAGGTCGCCCTCGCCCGGATCCGGGCGAGGGCGACCCTCGCCGCCGGATCGGGCGAGGGGCGACCCTCGCCCAGGCCGTCGGGCGAGGGCGGCCCTCACTGGGCCGGGCTCGCCCCTGTCGCCGGCGAGGTCGGCCGCCCTCGCCCAGCCCTTCCCGGGCTTCGCCTGGTGGCCGGCCGGCCACGGCGACCGGCCGGCGAGGAGAGAAAAGAAAAGAAAAGAAAAAGGAAAGAAGAAAAAAAAGGAAAAAAATATTTAAAATTAAAAATGCTGACTGTACACGCTGAAAAAATTTATTTAAAATAAAAATGCTGACTCAGTACATCGCCGACTCACCTCCGACGAGCCACGTCGGCGTCAAAATTAATAAAAATGCCACGTCGGATTTCCGGCCAAATTGGCACTAAAGTGATCTCTTTTCCTCCGACTTGGCACCAAAGTGATCCGAAAAAAAGTTATGGCATCAAAGTGATCGCCGTACATAAGTTATGGCACTTGTGGTGTAGTTTTGCCAATGTTCTTGGCATGCTTGCTTGGTTACGGCATTATCTTGTAAGATTGCATGCTTCGGTTGCTGTAAATCCGCTAGATGAGTTTCGCACGATGACGTTTATGGCGAATGTTTAAAGTGTGGTGCTTCGCATACTTTTCTTTTGATTGAAGTTCAACTTTCTGATTTTGACCTTTTTGTCAAATTCGGTGAAGATTTTCATACCACCTCATTTACAGTTACTTGATCATGGATCCAGATGTCAGGTAAATAGTGCCATGATCAAAGGCGGCAACGACATACATTACTTTACAGAATGGATTCAGTACACAGCGAATCACATAGGAGAGTTGGAATGAGTACATAGCAGTACTAGTCTAGAAGACAGCTTAGAAAGAACATGGCCGAAGTCGGACATCCGTCCACTTCAGACGCTAGAATACAAGGGTATTACTTGAACCATGTACCAGACAGAATCTAGAAACTCCAACCAGGAACTTTGCTGCCCTTGTTGATCTCCATAATAATCACTCCCTTGTACTTCTTAGTCGCCATATTGCTATCGATAACATCATCACAATAAGGAGCTGCGGTGTCTTGAATTAACCGTCTCGTGGGATTGTTGTGGGATGTATCGATTCCTTGCCTCTCGAGCCATAGGCCTTGGGCTGTAAATTCTGTCTAGTACTGCAAACCCGTCTCTTCCAACTTCGACAAGGCGGTTGACATTGTTGGGATTTTGGAACCAAAATCCCATAGAATTGAATGAGAAGTGTGTGGGTGAAAGTGTCCCACATAGGGTAGAAGAGAGATGGGAGATGGGTTCAAATAGTTGAGCCTCACAAATGGGTTTGGGCCCCAAGGGGTACCCCACTTTTGTGGAAGAGAGAGGACCTACGTCAAGCTAGGTCGGTCCACCTCCCGCGCGCGCGCCGCCGCCCGTCCGGCCGGCTCGGCTCGGTTCGGTTCCGGGTCCACTCTCTATCGGTTTTTATTTTTTTCGAACAGACACGTTGTTTAGAATTTATTTATGTTCGTGAGGTTCGGTTCGCCCGAACAGAACCGAAGCCCTTCTCGCGACTGTTCATGAACCGAACCGGTTCAAGCGAACCTTCGCGACTCTTCATTTTTCGTCACTTGAATAAGACCGAACAGTTTAGTTCGGAATATATATATCACTTCGTGGCATTCATTTTTTCAAGACGCACTCTACGCATATTCACTTCATCATTGTCATTTGGTGCGATTGTTCTGCAAAATTGCGTTCGTTGGAGTCCTCCGAATACGTACCGCTTCGGAGGAACGAGATCCGTTCTAT